ATACATATATATTATATATGTATATATATTTGCATTAATATATTTATATATATAATTTTAGAGTGGATTCATTGACCAACCTGAACCCGGCCCGGGCCTAAGCCCAACTCGAATGCATCAAATTACAAGGTGGGCTGGGCTCGAATTGGGAAAACTGGGCTTGACCTCGAGATCGGGCCTTAAGCCCAAATTTTAGGGTCAGACCTGGGTTGACCATAAATCCAGCCCAACCCACTCGACTTGCAACCCTAAAAATGAATATTATTACTAAAAGTGTTGTATATCCACCGTACACATGGAATGCATCGAGTTCACACACCATTAACCAAAAAATGGATCAGAAAACTGAGAATGATGACTGATGAAGTGATGATATTGATACCCATTAGAGACGTGGGACATATTGGTGGACCGATTCAGTCCGACAATTTTATATGGGCTGAGCTTGAATTTTGGGCTTTTTAGTTTTTTTGGATTAGACTCGGGCCTGGCCCTTAACCCGAATTTAGTGCAAGTGCAACCTACTTAATTTGCATCCTTATTGAAGTTAGAATAAATGATAAAGATTGATGGTGTGCACTCCGATAGCTCCCTGTTGGATGATACTTTGGACGTTGGACTAGATAGATTATTTGGTCGAGCTACAAAGAAAAAGAGAAGATTAGAGTACTTGGGCTACTTTATCCAGTATGGGCACTCCGATGCTTAAGTCAGCGAACTGGAGATTTTTCTGAGAGCTAGGAAGCAAGAGAGAGCTAGAGAGCTTGAGTGTTAAATCATGCATACCTTATGAGGTTAGAGGTGAGGCCCTTATATAGGTGGGCTGCCGTGAGCCTCACGAAATGCGTCTAGGATCTCTGACCCGTCTGGTTCGGAAGTGGTTTCACGCTTAGAGATGGACTTTGTGCAAGTAGGTAATGTTTATTCAATCATGCCCGGAGCGGGCGGGGTGATAACCAGCTTTTCCAATGTGGCATTTTGATCTTGGGGAATTCGAAGGCGATAGTTTGCATAACGGGGAGGTTGCTCGGCACATCAGGGAAGTCACTAATCGGAGTGAGGTCAGATTGGTGGAAGCAGGTCACCTCTTACGCCGACTTGAGGTCCTGCCAAGGTGTTTGCAACTCGGCCTACCGGGGTAGTACCGAGGTTGCTGAAGTGTCCGAAGTGGTTTGCTTACGTTGTGTCGAGGTGTCACTCTACTGTTCTTCAATGCCATGTGTCATGATATCATTGGAGGACCATATTATACCTCATCAATTGCCCCCTACTTCCAAGTCCAACGTGGTCAGTACGACAAGGGAATAGTTTTAACCCGAGGTTATTTGATCCAATTTCCATCCTCATTTATGGTCCGATCAATGGCTCGAGTAGGGCTGTTCACGGGTCGGGTTGGTTTAGTTTACTGAGGTTTTTCCAACCGACCAGATCTGGTTGGGTTACCTGAGATGGAAACCGAAACCGACCCAGTGTTAAGCAAAACCGACCTAGTCGGTTTGAGTCGGGTTGGGTCGATTTCGGCTCTAAGTCCATCCATGCCCCCCATGGCCACCTAGTTTTCTGGAAATATATTTAAAACTGAAATATGTATTTTAGAAATATATATATATATATATATATATA